TTGTACTGGGACCTCCAGGATGTGGCAAGGGAACGCAGTGCGCCATGTTACAGAAGGTTTTTTTTTTCATACGTTTCGAGAATTCGTTTTTCGAAATCCGTTATCTTAGTTCGTTTTACACATAGACTTGAAGGGGGGGGGGGGATTTCCATGCTGTCAACTGATTTTTGATAACGATTTTTGTGAAATTTGGCTTTTTCAGAGTCTTGGATTGAAACATCTGAGTGCCGGTGATTTGTTACGTGCCGAGAGAAAGCGTCCAGGCTCGGAATTTGGACAGCTGATCGAAAATCACATTCGCAATGGTACAATTGTACCGGTGGAAATTACTTGCAAACTTCTTGAAAATGTATGTGAAAAGGGCATTTGTTTGAAAAATGAAACTGAGGGCTAAAAGCTGATCGCAAATGAGCATGCTCATTTATATACGTAGCGAATAGAAGGCTGTACTGGCGATTTCCAGTCTTACACTTCCACTCTTCTGTGTCTCTGTTTACAGCTAAGGGATGAAACACAGACTGCTTTCTTCATGTTACTGATCAATGGTCCCGCCATCACTGATCATTTTTGAGTTAAAAAAAAAGGGTAAGAGGATTCGCAGAATCGGTTGGAAGAGAACAGAATCAACTTCAACGCTGAAATAATGTAAGCTTACAAATGACGAAAATAGAAATGATACCATCAGTTCTTACCTCTTTTGAGAAACTGAGACATTCAAAAGAAGAAGTCCAGGCAGTAGTAAGCGCCAATAGCAATCACAATCGAGGGCAAAATTACCAGTGGTTTCCTCTTTCGATGACTGCTTAGAAGCAAGCCTGTTGCAAAAGGAAGAAGTTGCTAGCAGCAAGAAAACGAAGTTGGGGCTAAACCCCTTCGCCTCGCCTAGTTGCCCTTCGATTCCTTGTGATATGCAAATGTCCCGTTTCTTGATTCGAGTTCTCCCTCCGTGATATCTAATGTGGTGATTAGAAATGAAATGTGGATTATTGTTCTTTGTGCCTCAGAAATTTTGCGACAGCAGCTTGAAGCTGCTGCCGCTCCT